TATGCTATCGCGAAAAGAATTTCCGGGAGGGGGGGGGGGGGCATGGGCCCGGTGTGCTACCTCTTGGCTATGTCAGGTATGGACATAAACTGCACTCTGTGTAACGAACCGGAAACGGTTGGACATGCTGTGAGTGAGTGCTGGGATCCGATATTCTTTTGGGATGTGGTACAAAAGACCCTGAAGAAATATCTGCCGATAACACCTCACGGCATACGTCATATTTCAATACAGAATGAGGGTGGTGTTCCATATAATATGACGCGATTACTGGGCCTTTACAGTCTCTAGATAAAACGCATGGCCGTGAGCCACATGGATCCTAAAGCAAAATCGGCACGGGAAACTTCATTGAATGCGTAATATGTGCGCAAGATAGATAGAACCTTTATATAACCTCAAAATCGTATGCAGGTGTTTGATGAATTGGTGAAAATGAACCGTTCTTAAACCGTCAAAATGGTGCGAGTAGACCAATATGGTTTTTATGAATATGTATTTATTTATTTCTCAATAAAAAGGTTCTAAAAAGCACACGCGTGCCTGTGTAGTAGAACCCCCGCTCTCCCCGCAAACTGCCCAAGTTCGACCCCCACGCAGGCCTTGAACTTTTTATATTTGCATCTTGCTCAATTTTCTAGTCGCGCCCAAGTTGATTATTTTTCGCTCACAACCAACGAAACCGACGCCGACGCGAGAATTTCTGCGAAACGAACTCTTTAACGCTGTCGCGTTAAAAATGGGCATTGCTGTGCCGCAGGGATGGGCGGCTGATTCACAAGTCCGCTACATGTGAGTGACATTTTGAGGTGGACGATAATGTCAAATATCATAAGTACATTATAAATGGGAAATGAAATACTTCCACCTCGAGGAAAATGGGCGCTAGTGCCAAAAATATTACCTCGCTTTTTTCCCGGTCTGCCAAGCTGCTATAGCGCAGCTTTTTTCCTACTTTACATGCCACAATTGTTTCTTGTTTGTGTAAATCACGGTGTATCGTTGTGGTGAAATAAATTTCAACTTTCAACTTTCTTTCAACTTTCACACACACGCACACACACACGCACACACACACACACACACACACACACACACACACACACACACACACACACAAACACACACACACACCCACACCCACACACGTGCTAGGGATGAGCTCATGCCAGAAAAAGAAATAGGGAAGTCATGGTCACGGAGTCTGTCGAGTGATGCGGGCAGGAGCCAAAAATTAATCGATGATGCCGTGTCAGGGATGACGTGCGGTGTTTTTGTACTGCAGAAATCTTGCACCAAGAGCTGCTACTACAAAAAACTGTTATTGTGGAAGGAGGTGGTAGCTCTAGATTGTGCCCACAACTATTAGTGTTCATCGTAAACACTTTAAAGTGTTTACAAAGCGGCCTACTAGCTTTCTCTGCCTCTCCTACGGAGGCCACTGCTAGCCAAAAAGCCTTCAAAGGTGGTGAAAACCAGAAAACAAAAGGTCCGCAACCTCTCGAAGAGGTTTGCCCGTGCGGCTGCCTCAAAAATGAAAAAAAACATAAGAAGATCCTGGCTTTTGAGTGAGAGCTTTCCGAAGTTTCGAATGAGGGAATCGAAAATACCCTTGCTGAGCTTCCTCATTTGCTAAGGCTTTCATTTATGACATCACTAATGTAACGAGTGTTCGGCAATAACCCAGCGAAACTATTCAAGAAAGATGGCTAATACTTTAGCCATCTTTCGCGCGAGAGTTGGCATGATAACTACAGTTTTTTAATGCCCTCATGAGAGAATTCTTTCGCGAGAAAGATGACTGAAAACTACACAATATAAAAGAATGCCACCTTGAGCAAACTGCATTTCTAAAAAGTGTTTTCATTATAGCGCAGTGGACATTTGGCTGGAAAATTTTGCACGCCGACGAACACTGGAAAGAACGTGAAAGATGCACAGCTGATTACAAAATTAACTACGCTTAAGATGAGCCACCAATATAGAAGGACGATCGCATACTAACAACTCGTCCTGTGTACTTCTATTCTGGCGTCTTGTGTTTCAAGCACTCTTATTTTTATAATGTATTGCGAACTAGCGCCCAACACAAGCTTCTCGGGCACAGCCAATTCCGCCCGAAAACAGTGTTCCGGGCACTGTTTGTAAAAAAATAAGTGAAGAAATAAATAGTAATTAGTTTCCCGATTGGAAAGGATCCTGACTATTAGCGGTGATCATGAAACAGATGTTTTATAAATTTTCGTTTTTGAAGTAGTTGAGTTGACCGCTCAAGTGTCAATGGTGAATCTCGGTTATCACTACTGACGAGAGCTGCGACGAGAATGCGAATCACTCGCGCTGCAGCAGACGACGCGCGCGGCTTGAAGCAAAATGGCACAGCGGCGCCACTAGTTCTCGCATCGGCCACCACGGCCACTTCAGAGAGCGCGCGCCTACGAGGAGCTCCGAAACTGACCCGGTTCTAGTAACGTTGTTCGAAACAGCCAAGCAGGGTCGGCTCCCATCGGCTCCCACTACCCCCGGGTTGGGTTGGAGAAGGGGTGTAGCAGGGCTGCATATTAGTGTTGGCGTGGCCCTTTGCGACAGCTCTGTAAAAACGTACATGGCTTTCGAATGAGCGGAGCTGGAACGGCTTGTGACGTCCCCAAAACGTCACCAATCGCCAACATTTGTAACTCAATATGATGACGTCACCACTAGACATCAGCGCTCGGTAGAAAGTGAGCTGATCTCAGAGCAACTGCAACACCATGTAGCACGTACCGAAAAAGAGGACATCTCTCCCTCTCCCCCTTTGCTCCACTCCACCCGAAATCATGTGGCATCGCTAGAGCATGTTATTGAGTTATTCAAATGAGCGACTGCTCAGCCTGTAACTCGTTCTGGGCGATTTCGTCAGAGCTAAGAAAGAAAAAAAAATGCTACCAGACAACTGTTCATTCTCTTGTTATCTTCATCTGGGCAGTGTTCTTTTGCGTCTCTTTGCTGCACGAATGCTTGACGTTCTTGCTTTTTTGCCAATAAGAGGTTTGCTTTGCAGTATACACCTTATTTACTTCTTTATTGCGTTCATGGGCCTTCATTGATGAATTGTGAGCATTAATAAAAATGCTCTCATTGTCCCCTATATTCCTCCAAATCCTGTGTAAGGTGAGGTGATGTGGAGAAAGCTAGTGTGGGGGGAGATTTATTATCAGGTAAATGCAGTTCAGCGAGAACATCAAGGCAAGTTAACCATTCTCTCTCGTACAGCGGCTTACTATGTCTTGCAAAGTGCTTGTTTGTAGAACTTAATGCATTGACGAGTGTGCAGTAGGGGGCCTTCATCTTGAAGTGTTACATAAATTGTACATTGTGCTGCTTAACTTTCTTAGAGTTTTTTACTTAATTCCAGAATACATTTATAAAACTTGCGGCAACAGGTGTGCCCACAATTTCAAATAAGGCACAAGACAAATGCTTATAACAAAACATATTTTTATTTGGAATGTAAAATATTGTCTTTGAATGGCACTGATTTCAACAAGTACAGTCTTTTTGACTGGTATCAAGTATATTTACGCCACTTTGGCATAAAAAACGCAAAGAAACAAGATGCAACAATAAAGAATAGTGTAATGTCTACTAGACAAGTAAACAAAGAATAGAAAGTGACTATCACGTCACCTGGCATCTTTGCAGATGTAGGACATAATGGACGGTATAATAAAGCACTTGGCTTAATTGATCTAAATAACAGTAAAAGTCTTATAAAACTCAAATAACAGTATGATATCAAAAAATGTGCAAGGCTGATAGGCACCAAGAAGTTATGCTGGTCTGTCTGCATATGACGAAAAATAAATGTTAAAAGCAGCCATTGTGCTGACGATAGAGCGCCGTTTCTGTGCACACATTGCATATGAGATGCTCAGATATTAAACAAGCACAAAAGCTTTTATGCCGTATTTTTCAAGTGAAGTTTTTGAAACTGTTTGCATGGTTACTAGACAGTTCAGAATATATGCAGGTAATAACGATGTGGTGCTGATGGTAGCTTGAATTCAATAAAACTAAGTACCTGCTGGGATTTATTCCAGTGAGTAACAAACTTGCAACACAAGTAGACAGGCCACTCAAATGGTCAAACATAGTGGAGTGCTAAACAATGAGAAAAAAAAAGACAAACGAACGAGCCTGCTTGTTGCCGCAATTGTGCAGGCATTTAGCGCTCTGAAAAAAGTTTCAATGGGATAGCATAAATTTCATCCCTTCAAATCTTCAAAATCTTGCTCAACGATGTACGAGAAGGTACATTTTTTGCTTGTTTTGTGAGTAACATTCTTGTTACAAACAATTTTTTTACGAAAACATTTTTGTTACGCTTTTGAATATGAATCATAATGTTCTCTTGACCAGCTTCTTTTAAAATTTTGATGCAAGGCAATAAGGCAGGCAAATGTTTCATCATATTATTGGGTAACAAGACGGTGAAAAAACAAGTGATTGTGTAATTGAATGAAGTAAACTTACTTGAGTAGGTTGAATGCTAGACAACTAGTCATAGCAGTTGAATTGTCTAAACAATGTCCTTTGTGTGCAATGTGCACAAATCAGATTAATGGTACAAAAAAGAAAGACTTTTGTCCAGATCCCAAGTCAGTACAAGCATGCAAGATGAATTACTAGCCTAAACTGTATTGCTTTGTTTACAACAAAAAATGTGCTCAGGCTTCTACCACCTGACAGATAGCCTTTTCCCCCCTGCTGCACCAGACAATTGGATGCGAATCATGCATGTGATGACAAGCCAAACCTTTCACTAGCATATCAGCTAATGAGTACCAAAAGCTACTCTGGCAATATTTTAATGCAAGACTCATTGCTCAGGTTTCCCAATCTTGCTGCAAATGAAAGCGGTGTGCCTGCACGGTTGGTCAACGGGCTCGTTTCTTGCCTCCAAAAAATCCACTGTAAATACTCGGGAGTCATTCCTTGATGTCTCAGTCAGGTTGCTTTCAGGGCACACTCGCTGTCAGCCACTTGGTGACGAATTCTTCCACAACCTCCATGTTGATGCCTGCATTGAGAGGTTGCAAGGATCTTGTCACATAGAGATATGAAATGAATTTTATGTATCTGCAGTAGAAACCAAGAACTTGCCCCATCCTGCAACATGCAAAATAGTGTGCGCGGCCTTATGATCAATGTATGTTTGAGACCAATATGCGAATGCCACCAAGCCTTCCACAGTTGCCTAGGTACACAGAGGAATGGTGAATATGCGCACACTACTAAAGATAGTACCACTAACGGTTCTTCAAACATACACACATGTTGCCTAGTATCATAAAAGTGCTCTACTACTTTGACACTATACCACGTGCTTCAAGTGAAGAAAGCCAAAAGCTGTGGTAGTAGTAGTGTGGCTTTTAGGCTAGAACATGAAGTGCCGCTAGCTTAACATCATCAGAGATATGCTCTTAGTGCAGCGCTAGGCAGTGCAATGCTTGCCTGCAGAGCTGGCGAAGGCAGTTGCATTGGGTGGAAGGCCACTGAGCATGCCGGGTGGCCCAGAACAGACAAGTAGCGTTACCAGAGGCTTGTCAGCTGGGTGCCCTCCACGAGGGCACTGCTTCTCCAGGTGGTGGCAGCACTCCAGGATCTGGAACAGCTCCCTGAAACAATCACACATTTTTTAGAGAGTTTCGATTGATTTATATGTGGAGTTTAACGTCCCAAAATCACCATAAGATTATGAGAGACGCCGTAGTGGAGGGTTCTGAAAAGATCGACCACCTGCGGTTGTTTGACGAGCACCCAAATCTGAGCACACGGGCCTACAGCATTTCAGCCTTCACCTGAAATGCAGCCACCGCAGTCGAGATTTAATCCCACGAAATGCGGGTCAGCAGCTGATTACCTTAGCCACTAGACTACTGCAGCAAGGATTGAGAAAGTTACCACTCCAGACCTTCTTTGCGCTGGAACCTCTACATTGCACTCTGTCATGTGATCGAGTTTCATTCCACTAAATCTGTTTAGAGGACTAAAAGATGGTTACAGCGGAGGATCGCCCATTAGTGCTTTGTGTTGAGATTTATTTCACGGGCAAAGCAAGCTTTGGAACAAGCTGTAGATAGAAGAACGGCCCATACATACATCAGTTAAGTTAATTATAGTATGGCTATGAACTTTTAAGTGTACTAGAATAAATCCAAATGTGCTGGACTACTACAGCTGTTGGGTATCAGGTAAGTTCTCAGAAATGCTGCTGCAGTTATTACATATTGCAGAGCTGTATGTTTCTCTCAACATCCTGCTATTTTTACTATGCCGAAAGGGAGAAAACCTTAGAGATGTAACTTGCGAGCCCCTGCTTTGAATTAGGATGCTAAAGCCACCCAGACAGCACAAGAATTACCATGTGAACTCTAGATTTATTGAAAATCCTACAGACATGAAGCAGTTGTTGATGTGGCAGAGATAACACTCATTTTCTGTTAAAATTTGACACAGCACACGCTTTACGCAAGATATAATGACACTTTATTAATATTATTCATCATTAGACGCACCAAATTGTAGCAAGCTCTGAACAGCACACGTTAAAGATAAACAAACTGTTTCTAAAATAATGGCTTTTTGATCAATCTGCTGTTGCAAACTGCCCTCTCCTAAACCAGTGAAAGTAGAACGTTTTGTAGCAAATTCTTGCTTGTGGTCCTTCACTATCAGAAAATGCACCAATTGCAACAATTATAAAGTCTACCGTTTTTTACATAACTTGATACAATCTCTAAAACAGTAAAATGATTGCAATGCACAGTGACATAGAAATTGACGTATGATACACACCAGGCTTCTTTCTCCTTGCGGTTTGGGTACTTCATAGGAGACAGAGAGAGGCGCTCATGGCTCTTCTGAGAACGCACATATCTGCACAAAAATACGGCAATAATTAAGCAAAAGTGCGCAGAATCTTGTAATCAATAGTCAAAATCAACTTTAAGGGGCCACAGTAAATTATTGCTTGTGTTACAAAGTCTTTTTTATTCAGTTTAATCAGGACACAATACATGTGATAAGATACATTATCAATCTTCCAGAACTGAACAATTAAAATATCTAGAAACAGTAACGAGTGGTACAGCACCAAAAGAGCAGCTCTAATGAGGGTTAACGCGAAGGCAGTGTGCGCTTGTACCATCACTATTCAAAAGAAGAGTTGGGAAAGTTATCACATAAAAAAAAGCGTTGAGCTGGAAAACAAAAAAATTGTTGCACTGAAGTTGCCTGAAAGTACTTAAAAGCTGACCCAAATCATTTTTCCAGTTTATTTAACGTTATTGCACACTTCTTAAAAGACTAACACCTGGTATGAAGGACTAGGCGGACACGAGCGGAAACTTTGACTTTAGTTTATTGGATGGACACCAACTACAAACAATATGGAATAGCTACCAAGATCACCCAAGCCCGTACTCTCATAGGCTGCATTTTCCCGGTCATACTTCGTAATCTTCATTCTGGTCGTGCATTACAATTTATGAAAAATAAAGGCACGTACAAAGGTTCGGTATCTTCTCACACTCCATTTCAAGCGAACTAAGATTTTCAACAGTCTAGCACTGCTTTCCAGCAGTTTTGCAGAACAGCTGCAGTGAGCCCTGTATACCTGCTTCCTCTGCGCAGCTCCCGCTCAAGCCAGCGGATGGAGTCCCGGGCTCCAACGCTTTCCCGTTTCAGCAGGTCCAGGCACGCGATCACTGAAAGCAGACAAGGAGGACTTGAGGAATTTAATTTTGCAAGCAGCAAAGTGATTATGGCACAAGTATTTGCGACTGCATTAAATGATGCACGTATTTAATTAATTCTCAGTGCCTCCAGCTATGTATACAACAGTGTCTAAAAGAACAACCCTCACCAATGTGCAGATCAGATTATGTCTTACAAGTATGTTTACGAAATAAATCAAGCTCATACACCGCAAGCATCAGGGACAAGCAACAGTTTGTAGCAGCCCTGTAGAAAAGCCACACTAGCAGTCAGGCTTAATCCTTTTCTTGCAAGCATGAAATGACTAAGACAAACTGCATTGTTCAGTAACAGAGGGCATTTAAGCATGGGCGTTGGGAGGAGCTTGTCTTAAGGGAGTGCGAACCTTCGTTTTGTGCCCCTTTGCTCCCTCCTACGGGGAGGATGGAGAGCTTGTGACGCTTGACTGGAAATAGGTGATGTTTGTGTAGCTTGGGGTGAAGAAGGGCTCATTTCGCCCCCCCCCCCCCCACCGCTCCTGATGCCCACGCACTTGAGGTCTTAAAGGAGCACTGACATCAAATTTCAAGATCGCGATTTGCCCATCATTCTATCACTTGGTATGCATGGGTCTTCTTGGCAAATTTTGAATGGTATCCGTCGCGTCAAAGTAATTTTATTTCGACGTCAACCAGCGCTGAATTGCTAAAGAGACAAAAAAATACACTGCTCTGTGACATCGACACTAGTGCTACATTTTCGGTGCGATACATTCCACAAATACCATCCTGAGTGACGATACGCTAGTGACAACGACGTCGACGATCTTTGAGTGTGTTTGGGGCCGACTCCCAGCCACGCTCTCAATTGGGGCTCTCCTTGCTGTGTTTAAGCGTGCGTGCGATTCATCGTGTCGCATCGACTGATTTGCGTTGTCCTCCACTGCGTATGAGTATGATCATTCACAGCGAAAATACGTGCCAGAATGTCGGAGAACCGCTGCGTAGTGAGAATCTGTACGTCGAGGCGCAAAAAAAGCGGAAAGTGCATGGAGTTTTATGCCTTTTCAAGCCATGACCCTAAACGTAGCCAGTGGGTTGACTTCGTACACGCTGTTGGACAGAGGAACTGGACGCCTGTGAATAAGAGCCGTATTTGCTTTGCGGCGAGCTGCTACAGGGTAAATATTGTGTTGGCGAACTAGTTCGGTTTCACTGGCAGTACGAGGCCTCTTCTCGAGGCCGCGGCTATTCTTACCGTGTGCCCTGCTGCAGCTTAAAGCAACGATTCACTCGCCAAACATTCACGACATGAGGTGCGTAGTTGGTGTTCTTGAGCTCCGACAGTACGGCCAAGACTGGTAAATACATTGCATTTAACGCGGAGCTCGTCAAGCAAGGATTGTCGCGAATCGCGGCGATGCCAAATTTCAGGTCACTGTCATCACATTTGCCGATGTTGACCACGACAACGGCGAGGACGACGATGTTGGCGACAGAGGCATGTCTACGCCTTCAGAGACACAGCTGGAGGACTTTACGTGCGCTCCTAGCAGACAAAACACCAGTGTGACGTCATCATGTTTTGTGGAAGCGGCATCAGCTGTGCAGCGGGCTCTACATGGCCGTGTGGTACTGTGTACAAGAATGGGGCAGTGTGTGCTCACTGAGGGGCTGAGAGTGACGCACTTCATGTCGTCGCCGACAGGTGGTGTGGCCCGCAGCGTCACCTGAAGTTTTTCAGCGGTTTGAAAGGCGTGGCTATTGCGCGTAGCTGTTTCGCACAGTAAAAATGTTTACACCCAAAAGAGTGTAAAAAGGGTGCTTTTACGAGAAAGCACCCTTTGCAACACCCTTTAACACCCATAAATGGTCGATTGAAAAAAAAAGCACCCATTTGTTTGGGTGCTTGCCTCGATAGCACCCTAAAATAGGCTCTAAGGGTGCTTTTGTGCCTGAGAAGGGTGTAGGTGACGATTAATCAGATGGAATATGCAGCATAAGAAGAACACATAATTATAATATTTGGGATTTTACGTCTCAAAAACCTCGATATGATTATGAGGGTCGTCGTAGTGGAAAGCTCTAGATTTTGACCATTTGGTGTTCTTTAATGGGCGCTGATATCGCCAAGTGCACAGGCTTCTACCTTTTCGCCTCCACCTGAATTCGACTGCCACGGCCGGCATCGAACCCGCGACCTTGGGATTGGTGGCCGAGCAGCTTAGCTACTGCACGAATATGTGGACCTTGTGTTAAATGACGGCCTAGACTTAGAATGTGTGAAGGTGCTCTCCGAATACAGCAGAATGCCAGCAGAAACAAATCGCGTTTCATCTATAATGGCAATTAACTGCAATCCACGTTACGAAAGCTCACCTTAGCGTTGGTTATCAGCTACATGTTTGCTGTGGATAATATACAGGAACATAATGTTTGCCCGAGTATGGGTGTGTGGGCGTGAGCCTGCGCTTGTGTTCGCGCGTAAGCGCGATTGTGTGTATACTCGTGCATGTGTGCGTGCGCGTGTATGTGCGAGTCCGTGCTTGTGTTAAGCGTGCCTGTGCACATGTGTACGCCCATGCATGCGTGCGTTTACGGTCGCGTGTGTGTGTGGCCCGTATGGTGTATACGTGTATGTGTGTGCGCCTGTGAATAAGTATGCGTGTGTATCAGGCCGTGCGCCCTCAAATTTCGTGTGTGTGTGCGGGGGGGCACTGCTTCTTAGTGTTTAAGGTCCCACACATGTTCAGACTGGGAGTCTATATGGGAGGTGGCTTAAGAAATGGCGGTGGTCAAGGCACTGTACACTGACTATTCAGTACATGGAAAACAGCTGCACATTTTCGTACCTCATAATTGCTTACGAACTTGCTGTGGTAGCTGATTAGGTCCGCTGAGGCGCTTCTACGCTCGAAAACGTGGGTTATGACCAATTCACACGGAAAGCTGTCACTGCACTTATGCACAACCATGTTATATTAACAACGTTTAACAAGAACGTGCCCTGCCTTTGCTACAGGTGCTTAGCTAGCCTATTCGGCAACCATATGGAATTATGTGCTGATCATGTGGTCAGCAAAAAGGTTGTTATAACAACCTCGGCACGTTTTGTGGTGCATGACAAGCCTTCTAAACATCCGCTACTGTGGATTAATTTGTTCCAGCTTCGACTACGCATTCAGTGTTTGCGGCAACATACGCGGAATTGCCTGACACAGACAATACAAAAAGAAATTTCTCTGGAAAAAGGTGTAGCGATGCTCTCCCGCTAATGCCACCGAGGACGAAATAATTATTGTTTCTGGCCATTCCATGGTGCACTTTGTTTTCCGCAAGTTTTGCTTCACTATTTCTCGCCCACTGCAATCGCATTCCGTCAAAATACTCAAAGAACCCGAGGCTGGTAAATAACCTGCGTCGCTGTGCGACTGGCTGGAAGGAGAGTTGCTGTTTACAAGGAGTCAATCCGCGTTGAACGGCCGTCCGCCGTATGCGCCTTAGCGTTTGCCTTTCGGCGCCGTCTTGGCGGGTTTGCCGCTCCTCCCCCCCCGTTCACCCCGGCCAGCGTTGCTCCCACAACGGCGGCGTAGATAAGCGAATAGTTGCATCACCGAGCACCTGCGCCGACAGCTGCGGCGCCGCCGCCAGTGCCCTTCCTTCTCTCTCTCAACGTTGCCCTCTCTGTCTAATAAGTCTTTCAAATGCGTTGCGTTGGTCGGGGTTCTTGGTCGCTGTGTGTGTTCTAGCGAACAGGCGCATATTCAATGGTGGTCACGCATGACACCATGTTCGAAGTGACGCTCGGATTAAGGAATATTCATGGAGTGGCGGACACGGACAACGTGGGCCGGTTAACGGTGAGTGTACTGTTTTCGTAGGTAGTAATCATACAGCGCTAGCTGGGCACCTGCAGCAGCTCTGCCGAAGTAGGCTGCCAGCCATTTACAACAGCATGCGTTCGCGGGCCTGTTGCAGATGCCCGATTAAACGTGTGACTTAACGAGTTCACACTGCTATGCGCGATGTTGTGTAAGTGCCTGCATCACTCATACAGTGAGTGATGTGATCACTTAACAAGGGCGGGATTAGTTGCTGATCGCACATTGTCTCTACACTGCACAAAGTGATTGATATCGTTTTAAGATGTGCTTTGGGCTACATTGTAATAACATTTCTATTAATACTCAAATGTGCAACGTGCTTCTGTAGGTGTAAGCGTAAAAAAGAAAGAAAAAGAAAAAAATTATGTACAGAGGCGCACTGTACGAAATGGCTTTTTTTGCTTAAAGATGGTGTAGTTGGAGGTGCTGATATGCCGCGATGCTCCGAGCACGTGCGCCTCGGTCTTTTAAGCTATTTAGGACAAGTGTCACCAGCAACAGGGAAAGATCTAGCAGACTTCCAAAGGCGCGTTGTTGTGGCCATCGCCGTGCGTTGTTTTCCCTCGTTTCAGTTTGCGGTTTTCGTGCTTTGCCTTCATCTGCGATAACGTTCGGCGTTATAACAGAATCAAAAGAGTATACGTAACTGTGGGAGCTACGTGCGGTAGCTCTAGCATAAGCCATGGCTGCTGCAACGTAGACGGCGTCCGCGCGCGTTGCTGTCGTTCGAGCGCTCCTACTTGCTTGAATGTGTTTAACTGAGTATTTAGGCACGGGTTACGTTTGTAAATCCCGTGGTCAATAATCGCTAGTAGCGTGCCCCTGATTGCCGTCAGAGGATGGGCTTGGTTGTCGAAATATGTCAGACGCTTTTTCTGAAAACAAGCTTTGAAAACTTTTTTAAAGAAATACTTTTATACATGCTAGGCAGTGCCTATTGCAGGCCCGCAAATCTTCAAAAACTGGACGAGCTATCACATCTTTTATCAAATTACAATGAATTAAGATGAATGAATTATAGATGACGAATTTATGTGCTAGATTAGGTGCACAAAACACATGTTCGCAGCCCTACGTCTAGAAAGCAGGCAAATAGGAAGCACAGCGTCAAATTTGGATAAGATTTCA